GAAGGTCACCAGATTGCGCCCAAATAAAGAGAGAAAGAGAGATAGACANATCAATCCATTATAATTGTTACACAAATACAATAACAATTATGCCTGAACGATGCCTAAAAAAACAGAAAAGGCCTTAACGATGCTTAAAAAAAGAGAGAAGACCTAAACGATGCTTGAAAACTAGGATTTTGAGGTTCATTAACTTGATGCTTAAAAAAAATTAAGATTTGTAGATGAAAGCCTNTAAAAAAAGAGAGAAGACCTAAACGATGCTTGAAAACTAGGATTTTGAGGTTCATTAACTTGATGCTTAAAAAAAATTAAGATTTGTAGATGAAAGCCTGAACGATGAAGGTCACCAGATTGCGCCCAAATAAAGAGAGAAAGAGAGATAGACAAAGAGAAAGGGAGAGAGAGTACCTAGGGAGGTCAGGATTGAATGATGAAGGCCTGAGCTATGGAGGCAGAGGTTTGAGCGATGAAAGCCGATGGAGGCAAGAGGAGAGGAGTGGAGTGAGGCGCTCGCTTAATCAATAGACGATAAGGTTGGTTAGCAATTAGGGTTTTTTTAGTTTATATATATATCTTCCACATTCCTATCCGATTTTTGTTGTTAACCGTTCAATAGGGTAGAATAGGGTAGAAAATTATGGCCAATCAAAAATTTGAAGACCCCTATTTGGATTGAACAGTCGTGCTTGGTGTGCTAGACAGGCAGAGGACTGATGATTAGCAAAGGAATGTTGAAATTCCACTAGCAAAAGATCAAAATTAAAGAAAGGAAAACCACAAAAGTGGGAAAGATGCTAATACTTTTCTTTTTGATTCTCTGGCTTTTCTTTTGAACACGTCAAAAAGTATGACAATTCATGATAAAAAGAAGAGGTGAAAGAATGAATGTGGAGCAAAAGAATTAAGACTTGCACATAAGAAGATGCAAAATATGCAAGAAATCTTGAGGAGAAAAGTTGTGTTATTGATTCTCAAAAGACATGTCAATTTCACATGAAATTGACATGAAGTTATCAAAATGATTTAACCAATTAAATTTACTTAACAAATTAGTCTATTTGGATTCATCTATATACCACACCAACCTGACTTAAATGATTATAAAAAGTTATACATGAAAATAACCTGAATGTGTATGACTATGAATGTGTCAAATATGGGTCAAACAAAATTTGACATTGCACAACCTAAATAACACGAATTGAACATGACACGATCGATTGTCAATCTCAGTAAAAATTAATTATATTCAAAACCGTCCAGATTTCCAGATACAACATTTCCAGATTTCTAACAAAAAATTTATGTGGGCTGTNCGATTGTCAATCTCAGTAAAAATTAATTATATTCAAAACCGTCCAGATTTCCAGATTTCTAACAAAAAATTTATGTGGGCTGTAAAACCATCCAAAGTGGTGGTATGCATAATCACAAGAGGTGGAGTTAAGAGTTTGACTATAATTATCTGTTTGAATCTACACTCACCCACCACCACTAATATTCCAAATCCTCTTAGATTCCAGATTATTCTTTCAACAAATTACTTAGCAATCAAAGTGACCATTGGCCTGTTTTAATTTTTTGTTTCTCTTCAAGCAATTTTCTTATTTCCTTTTCATAAAGTTCATTTCTTTTGATAAAGAAGAAACTCTTTGAATAAACATGCTTTTCACAACACTCCTTATCATGGACCCCAAACCATAGAAAACTTAGGGCTATGAGAGCCTTTCATTTGGTAAGGATTGCTCTCACTCTTAGGTGGACTACAAGTTTATTTTTTTCCCATTTATTTCCCTATTCTCTTATACAGTCAACTTGGTGTAACTTGTACCGAAAAATTATTAATAAGCCCAATCAAATTTGTATTAGATGACATAATNTTTATTTCCCTATTCTCTTATACAGTCAACTTGGTGTAACTTGTACCGAAAAATTACGGATAATATTATTATTTTTAATTAATAAGCCCAATCAAATTTGTATTAGATGACATAATTGCATGTTTTGAAAACAATTTTACTTCGCTCAAACTTTTTACGAGAATCTGGCATGGGGTTATTTCAACACCGTAGCTCTAACTTTAATACAGTTCCTCTTTTGCCCCTTAGATTCTTGGTCCAATATTGTTGAGTTAGATAGTGTGTTTACGTGAAGTATCAATTTATTCATTTCTACCCAATTCACGCCATAGACAAGAGCGTTGTATATTAGATACAAACTTTAAGTAGTATAAAATTGTCCGAGTTTGTTTGATCATTTTACTTGCTAAACAAATCACCTAGTTTAGATTAATGCGACTTTGTTTAAATTGACAAATTGTGCGATGATTTTAGACATCATGTACTTGTTGCTCTTGTATTACATCTACTAGCTATTCAAACCTTCTAGTATTATTTTTCACTAAGGATGGGCGTCTAGGTGATAAGACGGATTAGAATCCTCTTTAATGTTATAGATCGATTTTCAATCCCCTCAATTTCATGTCTCCCGCTCTCTATTGATAAATTCTACGTAATGANTTCACTAAGGATGGGCGTCTAGGTGATAAGACGGATTAGAATCCTCTTTAATGTTAGAGATCGATTTTCAATCCCCTCAATTTCATGTCTCCCGCTCTCTATTGACAAATTCTACGTAATCATTTCGACTTGAATTCATGATAGATGATAAAGAGTATTCAAACCTAAGGTGAGCCTCACCATTGTTTGGTATTGGTCTAGGATACCATGTGGGCTTCAATCCAGAGGGGACCTCAACCAAACTTGTAGACCACGCCCAAATAAAATATGGCCCAAATAACTATGGCAAGTGGCAAAAGCCCTTACACTGGACCCAAATTTGTGATATCAACAGTACTATATTTGGCAACCTTAAAAGTTCAAATTANCCAGAGGGGACCTCAACCAAACTTGTAGACCACGCCCAAATAAAATATGGCCCAAAAAACTATGGCAAGTGGCAAAAGCCCTTACACTGGACCAAATTTGTGGTATCAACAGTACTATATTTGGCAACCTTAAAAGTTCAAATAAAGGATGTAGATCTTAATTACTGCTGCTAGCATAATTATGTAAAATTTTATTTTTTTGAAAACTTAAATAGAAACTTAAGGCAACTTAAAAAGCATTGAACAAACCAAGAGTAGAATAAAACCGGGTTGACCCAATTTTGATGTTAGTTCGATATATTTTTTGTACGTAGCCATATTATTGTTTTGTTTTTGTCTAGTAATAATTAATTATGAACCACCAAGTTTGTTCATATTCGAGTCGTGCTGGAGTATCGTATTGAAAATTGACATCTCTAGTGGAAAATATTTAATTTACTATTGCGAAATTTCTCTCTCGATTTTTCTCAAATGAGATTAAGGACATAGGCAATAGTGGGTGATAGTCTATGAAATATGGATACGATCTAAGTACAATATGGATCCAGGTATAATACGAATACGACGATATANGAGTATCGTATTGAAAATTGACATCTCTAGTGGAAAATATTTAATTTACTATTGCGTGATTTCTCTCTCGATTTTTCTCAAATGAGATTAAGGACATAGGCGATAGTGGGTGATAGTCTATGAAATATGGATACGATCTAAGTACAATATGGATTCAGGTATAATACGAATACGACGATACAACAAAATCTAACAAAATAAGATATGGATAAGGTTAGGATAAGCCTATAATAAAATATATTTTATATGTTTACTATTATCCAAGAACTTAATAATTATTTATATTGGAAATTCTTTAGCATATTAAGGAAAATTAGAAAAAAAATATTTAGTTTCAAAAAAGTATATGTCATATCATCATGGTTTATTCACAAAGTAAAGTGAATAATTAAATGAATTAAAACTAATATTTACTTACTTAGTATNTATTTATATTGGAAATTCTTTAGCATATTAAGGAAAATTAGAAAAAAAATATTTAGTTTCAAAAAAGTATATATCATATCATCATGGTTTATTCACAAAGTAAAGTGAATAATTAAATGAATTAAAACTAATATTTACTTACTTAGTATGTTTTGAAATATTTGTTGATAAGATTATATTGTAATATATTCATTTTATGTTCTTTTGACATGTAATGGTAGATAATACTTGCAAAATACTAGCATGTTAAAGATTAAATTCAAAAATTGTACATGTTGCTCATACAAAAATATTTGCAAAGAATCAAAATATTTTATTATTATTGAATAAATAAGAGGTGTATATAATATATATGAATAACATATTCGATACGATATTCAGTACGAATACGCCGACCTCAATAAAAGTATGCATGTTTTATAGGGNGTTAAAGATTAAATTCAAAAATTGTACATGTTGCTCATACAAAAATATTTGCAAAGTATCAAAATATTTTATTATTATTGAATAAATAAGAGGTGTATATAATATATATGAGTAACATATTCGATACGATATTCAGTACGAATACGCCGACCTCAATAAAAGTATGCATGTTTTATAGAGGGTAGTATCAATTGATTCACTCCTCTATAAAATCTTTGGGTTCTATTGCATTAAATTGGATCATAGTTGATAAAATATAAAACTGGGATGATCCAAATCTTGTAGCAACCATGGTGTTATATTATCAAAAGTCAAAACAACCCCCACCCCCCTCCTTCTCTCCCCCGTTTTCTCTATAAAAATGGAATAAATCAAAGAGTAATCTTCATGGTCACCACAAGGCCACCATATTTTCGGGTTCACCATACTACAACGAAGGAGAGCCGTAAAATGATAATCCTCAATCACACCATACCTTGACCATCTCTCTCTCTCTCTCTCACACACACACACACACACACACCCTTGCAAATGCATTGCGCATAAACTTCTTTCCCCATTTTTACCATGCCACAACAAAACCAAGTGATTCGTGCATCACCATCAACCCTAGAGCCTTTCCCATAAACATCTCCCACATGCAGACACCAAACAACTACGAACCAATCTCTCATGGCCTCTAAACATGGAGACCGAACTCAAAAAGTTGAAAACCCTAGTTTCATTCAAACAAATATGCCATTCCACAACCAATATACAAGATCTAGGCCCCCAAGATCATGGATACACAAGCTTGAAGGACATTATCCCGGACTCGCCACCATGCAATGCAACGAATTTTTACGAGTCCAATGTATTCCATTCTTCTAGCATTTCCATTCGAAATGAATTGGTCAAGCATGCAGCATCAGCCTACGTTCAATCTGCGTTTCTGACAAATCAAAACCAAAATTGCTTGGCAAATCTATGGGAGAACATTACGAACCAGGCTGCAATTCATTCGTGCTGGAACGTCTATGTTCAGATGCCTTTAAGGGCTTGTTTCGGAATAATGTTTCGATTTCTGGATTGCATTGTCAATGGATTTGGAAGAGTTTCAAGTGGGAGGATAGCAATAGCGTGAAATTGCTTGAATAAAGGTTTCTTCCTTGGGTATGAACTATGAATTCCTGTTTTCTTTTGTTTCTCTTCAAATGGTCTTTGAATTTCCTTTGAAAAGGTGTGACTGTTATATGTAAACCTATTTGATTTGTAAATAAAGTATGTAAATTTTTATATGAAATAGAAGAACAACTAGAATTGAAGGGAAGTGTATAGTAAATGGTTCAAAAATTGAAGGCTTAGAGGATGTAAGTTTGTGAGTAAGTATGTAAATTTTTATTAAAAGAGAAAATTATCTAGACTTGGAAGGAAGTGTATTGTAAATCGTTCAATAATTGGGTTAGAAGATGTGGGGTTGGAAGGTTGTAAAAAGTTGTACATGGTGCGTAAGCCCCTAACCTGGATCAGGTTTTGGGGGAGGTACGTAAGTGATACACACGAAACTGTAGATGTATCGCTTGAGCAATGAGCACTTGACATTGCTTTAGATCCAACCTATAGAATATGATTCGGAAATGCAATATGAGGAGGAACATGAATCATTAGGTTAAGATCTGGTTTACAAACTGCTTGCTTTTGTGAATGTTATTATTTATCTCTTAATCTTTTCCCCCCTAAAGAATGCACAACTGAATAGTGTATATTTGGATGGTTTTTCAAGGGGGGATTGGATTGGTTTTATCAAACCCTTCCCAAACTCAACCCATTTTTTGTACATGGGACTGGTACACAAATCATGTACATAGTTTCGTTTGATAAGTAACATAAACATATGTGAGATCCATGAATTAATAACAATTATAACTAAAAATTATCATGTGATTGACTAAATTATCCGTTAGTCAACCCAATTCATACCCATGTTTGTGTAAGTCCAAAGAGGAAAGTGATTGGGGATTAAGATGTGATTTGGGTAGATAGAATAATTTATTAAGGATATAATGGTTAATTTACTTATTTATCCTGGATTGGTAGATATGAACACCCTGGGTTTGGGTCTGGCTGACACTATTCACCACGGACTAAGATTTGAATCTCGGGCTTTAAATCAGTAAACAAACATGAATATAACTGGTTCATTAAAGTATGTTGATTAAGCCCCTTTTACATTACCCCCAAATCCAATAAACAATCAGGCTAACCTGATGATGGAGTATTTGGTATTTAAGTTATAGATGGAGAAAGCACATGGCCATCAAAAAATCAACAAATTGTATTGAATAAGTGGCCACAAAGGAGGTCAAGCATTTCTTCTATCTTTTTTATGGGATGTTGGTGCTGAATCACGACCCAGCGTATCACGATTGATCATAATATTTTATTAACAGTGAGATCGATTATGATATTTTGTGATCAATCACAACTAGTACTTGTATCTTTACATTTAAAAAATATATTACTTGATTCTTAACAATACTAATTTTTGATATGGTACTATTTTTTCGATACCCTAGTTCCTTAATCGATAAGGTCATGCTTGCTTTTCTTTTCTTTTCTTTTCTTTTTTTAATCTTTTTTGTCCGGTTTTTGACAGAGAAAACGAAAGCTAATATTTTTCTAATAGATAGCATAACAAATTAAGTAAAGCCAAAGGCAATATTGAAAGCCTATGTGGACTTATTCTGGGGCTAATTTTAAATTGTACCCCAAAAGATGATTTAAATATTAATTTATATCCTTAAAGTTTAAAAATATTAATTTATATTCTGAAAGACATAAATTTATATCAATGTGCAGCGGGGGTTAACTGTCGTCCATTTTACTATTAAAAAAATTTGGGCTAATTACTAATTGCCCTTTCAAATTTAAATATTTTATATTTATGATCCAAAAATAATTTTATTCATTAATATTCGTTTAATACCTCTCAATTTTGTTGTATCGTATCATTTTTGTGTCCTGTCGTATTATTTTTGTGTCGTGTTCGAGTTTATAAAAAATTATTTTTAACACTATTTTCTTGTTGAGTCAATTACATTGTGTTTTATATTTCATATGTACGACAATTCATATAATACTATTTAAAAAAAATTAAAATACCTATTTTTTTACTTACAATATTCATTAAATAGTTATTTTTTACTTAAATAGTTATTTTTTACTTAACGTTAGACACGAGACGACATAATTGTGAGATATTTAACAAACATTGATGGATGTAATTCATTCAACAAACAAAAAACCCTTGGCTAGTCTTTTTGGGCAGTTTCTATGGTCTTGACTAACTTTTTTGGGCAGTTCCTGCGGTCATTACAAAAACTATGTCGTTTAGGTTATACATATTCTGTAACATAATGGGGTAAATAAAATGATCAGGAGTCGAAGATCTTGAGTTTCAATCTTGTTTTAGCAATATTATTAAAATCGGACCGATCATCGAATCGGCAAGGAGATCAGGTCAATAGTTCATTGGTTTAACCGTTGGATTAATTGGTCATACCGGTCATATAATAAAAAAAAAATATATATATATATATATAATAATTATAATACATAATAATTTAACTAAAAAATATTAAATATGTCTAAAATGTATATAACGAAGCTTTCTGAATCCAAAGGCCATAAGAGAGAGCGATAGAGAGAGAGAGAGAGAGAGAGATGCCAGCAGGTTGGTTTGCTTTAAAGAGGTCATTGCAGTACAAATCAGAGCCATCTGATGTCCATGATCCAAGGGTCAATGGTAATCTAAGCAACATATTGACCAAGAAAACAGGCAGGTCTGGGAGTTCAAGGTCTATTGCCTATGAAGTAAGGATAAGAATATGGGATACTGATCGGATATGATATAGATATAATAATACGATAAAATTTTAAAAAATATGATCAGAATATGATCAGAATATGACTATAATAAAATATATTTAATATTTTTATTATTTTCAACCTACTTAACACTTTTATATTTTGGTAGGTCTTTAACATATAATAAAAAAAATTAATAATTCATTTTAATTTAAAAAATATATATATCGTATTGTTGTGGTATATTCACAAAGTGAAGTGACTATTTAAATAAATCAAAACTAATATTTACCTAATATTTAGAAATAATTTTTGTTAAGATTATAATGTAATAGCTTTACTCTATGGTCTTTTGACATATAATTATAGATAATACTTAAAAAAATACTCACGTGTCTTTGAAGTAATATAAAATTTTGTTAATGTATTGTATGGTATGCGAATTTGAAAAGAGATGTTAAAAAATCAACTAAAAAATTATATATGTTACTCTACTACAAAAGTATCCGTGAAGTATCTTAATATTTAATTATTATTAGATACGTAAAAAATATATTCGATATGTATTCTCGAATTTCCGACGAATATCATATTTAATACGATATCTGATACGGGTCCTTTCTTATATTCGTGCTTCATGGTCTATTGCAAATCTCAAAGTTGTCGCTGCCTCACTGATAGCTGCCTCGCCTGAGTACTGACTTGTCGCTGCCTCACTGAGCTCTTTACTACAAGTATCAACAGTTCTTGTCACAAGCCCAGCTTGAACCATCCACCCAGCAAAGAAAGCTTAAACACTCCAAAACTCAACTCATCTCAGTCAAGGCTCACAGCCCTTTTGACAAGAAGAACAATGTCAAACAAAAACTGAAT